GTATATGCACATGCATATATATACATATACAAATACACACCACACACACACACTAAATGCCAAGACCTGATCACTTTTTAAATCATTCTCATGAGCCAGAAACTAGAGAAAGCTCAACACACTGGCTGAGTTCATGTAGCAGCTAAATCATATAAGGTATGATTTTGGCTTAGCATGCTTGATGAATCAGCCTTTGTGAGTTTATCTTAGTACAATAATCTTTATTATCAACTTGCTCCTTTAGTAAGTGACCAACTACAGATACATTTAACTGGGTAATTAAAGTTTCTCTCATGCTAGTTTATGTTTGAGGCTAGGTTAGCTTTTCCAATCAGGGTATTATCCTTTGCATGGCTTTGATAAAAACATATTGAAGATGTGGAGGAGGAGAAATAAAAGCCTCATATTTAACCTGTGTTCAAGGTACAAACAGAATTGAGCATATGTGAATTTGTGTAAGCAATAGCCAAAGGAGTAACTGCAAGTCAGGGTTGATCCAAAGTTTGTTGTCATCTTACAAAAATCACAATCTCCTCTTCCCATACACTGAACATAACAAGAGTTGATCAGACCACTTACAGGTAGTCTGCACTTATTGACTGCCTTGTTTAGTGACCGTTCAAAGTTACAACAGTGTAAAAAAAAAGCTTTGCAACCAACCCTCACATGACTGTTGCAGTGTCATGCAGTCACATGATCATGACTTGTGTGCTTCACAACTGGCTTGTGACAAAGTTAACAGAGAAGGGAGAAGTAAAATTCTAAGTCGTGATCATACGATGTTTCACTTAACGACCCATGGTGACTCGCTTAACGATCAAAGAGGAAGTAAGGTCGTAAGCCTGTCATGGTCATGTGATTTTTTTGCTTAGCGATTGCGGCACTTAGTGACAGAGTTGCTGGTCCCAATTGTGGTTGCTAAATGAGGACTACCTGTATTAAGTTCAAACGCGTTATGTGTACTTCTACAGATCTCCACTCAGAAGTAAGAACCCCTAAGTTTAACAAGAACTTCTCCTGGTTAAGTAAGTGTGGATTACAGCCTTAATGAGCAAAGCATGATTCAGCATTTGCTCATTTGAACTAAGTAGTATAACTAGACTCCTGGTATCATCATAATCATAGCTAATTTTTCCTTCGGTTATAAATAGATACTGAAAAAGTTAATAAACAGGAAGCAACTTTCATATTAAGAATTTACCAGGTGAGGCAGATCACTTCTGTCTTTAATATTAGAATGGGCCTGACTACAGTACATTCACAACTATGCAATCATATGTCAGCAGCCAGTGTACTCCCCACAGCACCTGAATAAAAGAGCAGGCCACGGTCCCACTGCGTAGTTGGTTGAGCAGAGTCTCACAGACTGCTACATCTGGCACACTGGTGACACCATCCGTGATCACAATGATCCCTGCAAATAACAACAACCATTATCAGCACTAGATAGATAGGAGTGAAAGGCATGGAAGGCAAGAATTAAGTTTTGAGACAGATTTGCAATTGACAAAAAGGCTGAGGAACAAGAAAAAACTAGAAAAGAGCAACTGTCCTTTTCCTGAATCTACAATATACATATTAAACAAAATTGATGCCAAGAGCAATCTAAGATCAAATGCAAAAAAATCAGCCTGTTGGTCTATTGTAATGTTTATGTCCCCATTATTATGGGGGAAAAAAATAGAAGAGAGTGAGCTATATATTCTACTGCTCTTGGAGGAAAGGTGGGATATACAGTGGTACCTCTAGTTACGAACTTAATCTGTTCCGTGACTCTGGTTGCAACTCGA